CAAAAGCTTGTTGATCTTCTGGTTGGCATCCTTTTTTGTACTGCTGTATTTGCTGATTTCCTTCAGGTGGCATCACATATATCGAGTGTTCGTTTGCTTCATCCGCCTTGGCGATCGGTATGTCGTCGCATATCTTCCGTAGCCGTCCGTCCCGATCACGATGCTGTTGATCGCGTGGTATTGACTGGCTTCTACTCCCTCTTCTCGTCCACGGGGCCTTATCTCTCCATGTCTGCTGATCTCTCTGCGTGTAGTACTTCTGGTAATGTCCGTTCTGCTGATTCCACGGCGCCATATCCTGGTGCTGGTCCTGGTGCTGCTTGTTGCGCTGGTGCTGCTGCGCTGAGTGGTGCTGGTCCAGCACCTGCGCCGCGGAGCAGAGCTTCAGCAGCACCCTGGCCTCTGCCCGCTGATGCCTGGCCCTCCTGTGCCAGGCTGGTTCACCCGCAGTGCGCGGCGTGGCGGAGCCTCCCGCGCGGCCTGGCTGGGGGCCAGGCGTCCGCGCACGCCGCCTGCTCTGGAGCGGCCCAAGGCGAGGCAGCCCGCAGCGCCTGCTGCGCGCGGCTGCAGCAGCTGCCGATCGCAGCCGCCGCTGCGCGCGGCCACGATGGGCAAGGGGCGGGCCGACGACACGACGGCTGGCCCCGCTCTCCTCAGCCCGTGGCTTGGAACCTCCTCCTCCTCTTCCTCCTCCGACTCCTCCGCCTGCCTCTTCTACATCCCCTTTTCTTTCTGGCCCCATTTTTGTTTGTCCTCTCCGCCACCCCTCGTCCAGCTCCAGCTGACGAGCTCCCGCGACAGCGCAAACAGCTCGCTATGCTGCCTAACAAGGTGCCGTTGCGAACAGCAGCCTGACGGCTTACACTTGTCCTTTTAATTCTTTACGCTTCGCGTATCCCCACCAGCCCATCTCACAGCAGCAACTCTCGCGAAGCATGCCGACAGTCGTGTTTTTCAGGCGTGTGTCCGCTTAGCCCCGCATATCTCCCCTGTTCCTCCTTCCTCCCGCCTCCTTGTACATCCTCCTTGTGAGGGGAGCGGGAGAAGGACGAGGCGGAGGAGGAGGGAGAGAAAACGCTCCTCGTGATTTGAGTCGTTTGGGGTTTCTCGTCCTGGTGTGAGTCGTTCGGGCCCTTCTTCCTGGTGTGAGTCGTTCGGGCTCTTCGTGGTGTGAGTCGTTCGGGCTCTTCGTCCTGGTGTGAGTCGTTCGGGCTTCTCGTGGTGTGAGTTGTTCGGGCCCCTCATCCTGGTGTGAGTCGTTCGGGCCCCTCCTCCTGGTGTGACTCGTTCGGGCTCCTCGTGGTGTGAGTCGTTCGGGGCCCGCGTCGTGGTGTGAGTCCTTCGGGCTCCTCGTGGTGTGAGTCGTTCGGGCGCCTCGTCCTGGTGTGAGTCGTTCGGGCCCCTCCTTGTGGTGTGAGTCGTTCGGGCTCTTCGTGGTGTGAGTCGTTCGGGCCCCTCGTCCTGGTGTGAGTCGTTCGGGCTCCTCGTGGGGCCTCTTGGGGGCCTCTTGGAGCCTCTGGGGCCTCTTGGGGGCCTCTTGGGGGCCTCTTGGGGGCCTCTTGGGGGCCTCGTGGGGCCTCTTGGGGGCCTCTTGGGGGCCTCTTGGGGGCCTCTTGGGGCCTCGTGGGGCCTCTTGGGGGCCTCTTGGGGGCCTCTTGGGGGCCTCTTGGGGCCGCTTGGGGGCCTCTGGGGGGCCTCTTGGAGGCCTCTTGGGAGCCTCCTGGGGGCCTCTTGGGGCCATCTTGGGGCCTCTTGCGACCTCCTCAGAAGCGCAAGTGAGAGCTGCCCCCTGAGAAGGACAAAATGAGCCCCAAACCTTCGTAAAATCAATGATTTTGCTATGAGGGAAGATGAGCGCGGCCCCCTCAGAAGGCCAACATGGGGCCCAAACCCTCGTAAAATCAATGATTTCTGCTTCAAAGACGAGCAGAGGGGCCAAACTCAGCCCCCCCGTCGGGGCCAGAATCCTCGTGAGGGTCGTCGTTTTTTGGCCCTCCCAGGAGTCGAAAAAAACACCCCTGCCACCACCCCGGACTCCCTGTCCAGGTCCAGGGGGAGGGGGTAGGGGGAGGGGTAAACCCCTCCCCGAAGGGGAAGAAGGGGGGTTGAGGACAGAGAGGGCTCTCTAAACCACTCACGCCCAAAGGGCTGGTGGGATTACTGGCAGATTTCGGTATACCGAAATTACGGGCCCCCACCACCGACACCCCCATTCAGAATCTCGCCGATCAACGATTCAGGCAACTCGATGGGTGGCGGAGGTAGGGTTCGAAATTCGTCGAACACGTGGCGAGATCCGAACCCTATCCCCACTTCCCATCGCTTCAGGGTAATCGAGTTAGGATAATCGATACCACCCTTCCCCTGAACTCCTGGCGTCGCAATTTGTTCGCACCAGGCGCTTTCGCCCAGTTTCGGGCCCTGGGGCCCTCGCAGATCGATCGGGCTCGAAAAATTGCGCAGAAGGATGGGGTCCAGGGTTCCGGTCGCGGTTTCTCATTTTTGCGAGGCCACAGAAATTTTGCCGCAGAGCTGGATCTCAGGGTCTTGCCACTGGGCACAGGCCCAGACAACGGGCTGCTCCAGTTTTTTCGATGCGCGGGCCCCAGAGGTCTGGACCACTCCCCCGGGGCCGGTTCTTCGTCCCGAGCCGCTCCTCTGACGGCCCCGAGGCCCGGCGAGGGCCCCCCGAGGCCGAAAACAGTCCAATAAGCCGCCCGCTCGAACGTTTTGGGAGCGTCGGATCACTGGGTATGATTTATCGCAAAGTCAATCCTCGTCAGACGTTCGCACATTTGCCCGGGTGCCGGAGGCACGGGCCAAGTTCTCCCCCCGAGTTCTAGATTGGCACGGCCTTCGGGCCGATCGGGAGCTGCGTTGCGTTGCGTATCGCAGAGTCGGCTCTCGGGGTCTTGCCCCCGGCACAGGCGGCCTCTGCGACAGCCGCCAGAGGCAGACCCCGGCGCCACCACCGGATGGGGCCCCTCGGCAGCCGCTGGGCGGGCGGTTGCTGGGCGGCGCCCCCGGCAGCCCTCCCCTGCTGGGGCCCCTGCGGGGGCCCCTGGCTTCACCGAGCGCGTCCCGCTACTCGCAGAGTGTCCACTCGCAGACGTCCGAGAAACACACGTCCGCCTCGGTGTAAGGATTCTCAGGAGGGAAAGAAACACACAGACACAATTAATCGTCGACTCCCAGGAAAATATGGGAAAATATGGGAATTGGGGGGGGAAGACAAAAACCCAGAAACTATGGGAACATATGGGGAATATTTTTATTTGTGTGTATTTATTTGTGTGTCTCAGGTCTCCTTCAAAAGTGTCAACTCGCAGACGTCCGAGAAACACACGTCCGCCTCGGTGTAAGGATTCGTAGCCCCACCCCCCCTCGGCGGATCCAGGCCATCCTGCGAGCAGCTCCTCTGCGAGCAGTGGAACGCGCTTTTGTCTGCCGCTCTTGGCGTCGCTCGGACGTGTTTGCATTGTTCCCCGGCGAGGATCCTCGAGGAACATCCTGGATCACTGGGCATAGCATAGCACGCTTTTTTGTTTTCTGTTCGGCGGCCCGCAGGGAAAAGTCCAGAGGGCGTGTCAGAAGGCAAATGGGGCGCACTGCCAGATCATTAGTGAAGGCCAGGCCACGACTGGAGGGAGCCGCCAAGAGGGCGCCAACCCCCACACGAGCAACCTGCAGAACCGGGCAGCAAGAGCACAGCACGCACGAAACCGACGAGTGCACGGGGAACGGACGTCCCAACGACGGCGAGCTGCGAGTATCAGGAGGGGAAAAACAGACAGACACAATGAATCGTCCACTCCCAGGAAAATATAGGAAAATATGGGAAGTGGGGGGGAAGACAAAAATTCAAAAAATATGGGAAAATATGGGGAATCATGTTATTTGTGTGTATTTATTTGTGTGTCCTGGGGCCTCTTCAGAGTAGTGGAGCGCGCCTGTCTGCTGCCGGGGCCCCCGCTGGGGCCCCCCTGGGGGGGGGCCTGCTGGGGGCTGCTGGGGGCTCGGCCTGCTGGCGAGCGCCTGGCCCCCCCCTCGGTTCCCTTCTCCTCTCCCGTCCCGCGTCTCCCGTCTTCCGCCTCCTTCTTTCCTCCCCCCCCCTCTGCCCTTGCGCGTGCTGCCCCCCTCCTCCCTCCTCCTCCTCGACCTCCTCCTCCTCCTCCTCCTCCTTCTCCTCCTCCCTCCCCCTCATCCCTCCTCCTCCTCCTCCTCCTCCTCCTCCTCCTCCTCCTCCTCCTCCTCCTCCCCTCCCTCCTCCTCCTCCTCTCCTCCTCCTCCTCCTCCTCCTCCTCCTCTCCTCCTCCCCCCCTCCCTCCTCCTCTCCTCCTCCTCCTCCTCCTCCTCCTCTCCTCCTCCTCCTCCTCCTCCTCCTCCTCCTCCTCTTCTAATCGTGCCATCCAGCCAGTCTTCCTCAGCCGCCTCACTCTCGGCGGCAAGCGAGGGGGGGAAGTGAGAAGGACAAGGCCTTCTCAGCAGGTGGCGGGACTTCACAGAAGCCCTCGCGCCTTCTGAAAGGTGTTTTCTGTGTCTTCGGGGAAGGCTTGGACAATTTCTCAGAAGACCGGGGGACTTCCGAACCTCCTGAGAAGGCCCGCTCCTTCTCACTTCCTCCCCTCGCTCGCCGCCGACAATCGCGTCATCCAGCCAGTCTTCGTCAGCCGCTTCAATCTTCCTCCTAGTTGTCGTCGTCGTCGTCGTCGTCGTCGTCGTCGTCGTCGTCGGTCGTGGTCGTGGCCGTGGTCGTGGTCGTGGTCGTGGTCGTGATCGTGATCGTGGTCGTGGTCGTGGTCGTCGTCGTCGTCCGTCGTCGTCGTCGTCGTCGTCGTCGTCGTCGTCGTCGTCGTCGTCGTCGTCGTCCGTTGTCGTCGTCGTCGTCCGTTGTCGTCGTCGTCGTCGTTGTCGTCGTCGTCGTCGTCGTCGTCGGTCGTGGTCGTCGTCGTCGTCGTCGTCGTCGTCGTCGTCGTCGTCCTGCTTCGTCGGCACGCCAGGAGAAGGACAACGGTCTCACGAAGCTCCGCTTCTGGGGCAAGGTGCTCGGGACCGAGGCGCGCGCGGGCATGCTCTAAACGAGCTTCCCAAACAGTCCTCCTCCCTTTCTCTTGGATTCGTCGTCTGCTGCTCCTCCCTCCCTCCTCCCCGTCCCTCCTCTCTCCGCATCCCCCCCCTCGTCCTCCTCCTTCCTCTCGCTCCCTTGTCCTCCTCGTTCTCCTCCTCCTTCCTGCTCTGCCTCCTTCTCCTTCCTCCTGTTTTCCTCAGCGGCCATCCCCCTCCCGCTTCCTCTTCCTCTTCCCTCCCTCCCTCCCTCCCTCCCCCCCTCCCCCTCCCCCTCTTCCTGCTCCTCCCCTCCTCCTCCCCCTCGCCCTTCCCCTCCCCCTCTCCCTCCCCCTGTCCCCCTCCCCCTCGCCCTCCCCCTCCGCCTCACCCTCCTCCTCCTGTTCCTCCTACTCCTGCTCCTCCTCCTCCTCCTCCTCCTCCTCCTCCTCCCTCCTCCTCCTCCTCCCTCCCTCCCCCTCCTCCTCCCTCTGACCCACTGACCCACTGCTGGCAGGAAAATCGTTCTGACGTAGCTATCCCTCCTCCCCCTCCTGCTGCTGCTGCTCCTCCTCCTCCTCCTCCTCTTCCTCTTCCTCCTCCTCCTCCTTCTCCTCCTCTTCCTCCTCCTCTTCCTCCTCCTCCTCCCTCTCTTCCTCCTCCTTTCCCTACTCCTCATCCTTGGGCTGTAGCCTTTGTGCTTCACCCCCCGGTAGCCTTCTCGCGAGGAGCTTTCGAGGACTGCCTGACCTGACCTGACCTGACTCCTCATCCTCATCCAGTTGTCCCTCTCCTCCTCGTCCCCCTCTTCCTCCTTGTGCTCGCCTTTTCTGTTCTCCACCCCTGGTTCTCCTCGTCTTCATCGCCATCGTATCATGATGGCATGCCGTTGCATAGCGCAGCATGGCTAGCAAACCGTGGCATCGTATTGCATTGTGTGGCACGGCACTTCATAGCGTAGCAGGGCAGCACACCCTAGTGCACGGTACAGCATGGCGCACGCACACATGCACGCGCACATATCTTCGCATATCGTGACGAAGCGTAGTTTAGCATTGCACCGCATCGGACATCACACTGTAAGCACTGGATAGTGCAGCACAGCCCAGCAGCGCAGCGCCACCGCATGGCACGGCCCCGCGCAGCACAGCATATCACGCGCGCGCGCCCAGAGCACGTCGGAGCACGGCAAAGCACAGCGTGCCACTGCACAGCAGCGCACGGCACAGCATACAGTGGAGACCCATGCCAAGACACACCCTGCTTGCCTCTGGGGTGCCCTGGGTTTCTTGGGTTTCGATGGTTTTCCTGTGGGCAGCGTGACGCTCCCACGCCAGAAATCAATGGATGTCCTGGGGCCTCAGGGTTGAGCTCCTAGTGTATCATTCTATCTGGCAGCGTAGCGCTGCAACGCGCGGCACAGCTTGGCGAAGTAACACACGGCACAGCAACGTGCGGGCTGGCGAGGAACCGGCCCGACCAGTGGTTCCAGGCAGCGCTCCCGTACACAGCTCAGGCAAGACCCTTCACAGACAGGCCCCACTGGGAAGAGTCGACCTCCTTGGTCCTCAACCCCGTTCCCCCTCTCCCCCGCCTGCCGCCCCCTCCACACCCTCCGCCTCTTCCACCCCCTTCGCCTCTTCCACGGCTCACCACAGCTGGCATTTTTTGTCGACGGCGCTGCAGACGTACAGGTCACTGAGGCAGGCGGCGAGAAAGACAATAACTTCTGCACGCCACGGCCATTTACGCAGTCAGCTCTGCAAGCATCAATTTCGAAAAGTTGACCCCAGGCCAGGACCGTGTACCGAGTCCTGAAATGGCAAGGAAGAAGCTGCCAACTCTTCGTGAGTCCGAGCAGGCTCGGTTTCCGTGGAGGTGCTGCGCTTTATCGAACACTAGTTTTGATCGCAGCGTTGCCGAACATAATGCCAGCGACGGCTGCCTCAACCTTTTTTTCCTCGCTTCCCTCTGTTCCTCGTCTCTGTTCTCCGCCTCAGCCCCCCCGCCGCTCTAATCCCCTTCCTCTTCCTCCCCTTCCGCCGCCCCCCCATTGTTTCTATCCATTCTCCTCGTCCCTCTCTCCCTCCCTTCTTCCCGTGCCCTCCGCCCTTATCCTCCCTCCCTCACCCCGGCTCCTTTCTTTCCTCCCCCTCATCGTTTCCCATCGCTCTTCCCTCCTCCTCGTGCCCCTCCTCCCGCGCCTCACTGTTTTCGTCGTCGCCCACCTCTTACTCATCATGTTCTTGCTCTTCTTCTGCTGCTTCCCTCTCCTCCTTCGGGCCTCGTCCTCCTGCTCCTCCTCCTGCCCCCCTCCCTCCTCTTGGGTGGGAAGGGGGAGGAGGAGGAGGAGGAGGAGGAGGAGAAGGAGGGGGAGGAGGAGGAGGTGATGGAGGTGGGAGGGAAACGCCACCATGTAGCGCCGTGCAACAATATGGGGCTCGTGTGCGTATGAGCTTTGGACCCGTCGCCAGATACCCGCTGCCCTCGCGCCATCGGTGCGACGCACGCATCGTGCAAACTAGATCGTCGCTGCAGTTCGCCACTGTCTCTGCCGGGCCGACCAGGAGCGCAGCATATTCAGAAAGACAGCCTTGCCGCATGCGACCCCCGCGCCTGGAAGCGCAGAGCCGCCCACCTGCGCACACGGCGCCCACACAGCGGAGCCAACGCTCAGACTCGACGCAAAAGGTTCGCTCGATTCGGTGGCTCTCTTCGCCGTGGCCAGCTGGGTCACGGACCCGGTGCTGTCGAGCGCGACCGCAAGAAGCGTCACAAGCCCTTCATGAACCCGCTGCTCAGCGCGGCCACGGGCGTCGCCGGCGCAGAAGGACGGGGCGGCGCGGGCATCGCTGGTCCCGGCCCAGCGGGCCGGGGCAGCTGCGGCGGCAGCTGCAGCGGGACGGGGCCGCAGTTGGAGCCGCGGGCCCCAGGGTTTGGCTGCCGCCGCAGGGCAGGGCTGGGCCGCTGGGGCTGCCAGAGGACGCCGCCGTCGGGGGGGGCTGCCAGCTGACCACCTCGCCGATGCGGGCCGGGCCGGTTCTGGGCCTCGGGTTGGTGTCTCGTGGCATCGCATATATATATATATATATATATATATATATTATATATTCTATAGATGTTATATATATATATATATATATATACTCCGCAGGTGCCATCGAGGAGCAGATTGGATCCTCGCACGAAGCAGGAAGCGCACGGCGTCGAGAGAGGTGCGCGGGGAAGGGGCGACCCCAGCGGTGGCGAGGCCGGGGCCTCCCTGGCCAGGCTGTGGAAGGGCGTGCGCTGCTGGGCCCGGGCGGGGCCGGGCCAGGCTCGGTGGGGTGTTCAGTTCCGTTGATGTCCCTCCTCCTCCTCCTCCTCCTCCTCCCTCCTCCTCCCTCCTTCTCTCCTTCTCCTCCTCCCTCCTCCCTCCTCCCCCTCCCTCCCTCCTCCCTCCTCCTCCTCCTCCTCCTCCTCCTCCTCCTCCTCCTCCTCCTCCTCCTCCTCCTCCCTCCTCCTCCTCCTCCTCCTCCTCCTCCTCCTCCTCCTCTCCTCCTCCTCCTCCTCCTCCTTCCTCCTCCTCCTCCTCCTCCTCCTCCCCTCCCCCTCCTTCTCCTCCTCCTCCTCCTCCTCCTCCTCCTCCTCCTCCTCCTCCTCCTCCTCCTCCTCCTCCTCCTCCCCCTCGTCCTCTTTTTCCTCCTCCTCCTCTTCTTCCTCCTCATCCTCTTCCTCCTCCTCGTGCCGTCGTTTCTCCCCCTCCTCCGTGTCATCCTCATCCCCTTCTCCTCCATCCATGACAGTACGATATCACCAGAGGAAGTGCGCGGGGCCACCCATTTCGCGCTTGGGGTGTAGGGTTTAGGTTTTAGGGTTTAGGGTCAAGCAGGACGAAAACAGCGACATACTGGATGTGTCATACAGTGGCGCAGTGCCCGCATCCCATCCACCATAGAAGCCCACTGCACATGAAGGCGCACGCTCTGTTGCATGAGAGCCAGCGGGGAGGGCGGTGTGGGCGTCGTGGCAGCGCGCGGCAGCCTCAGGGTCCACTGGCCCCACTCCAAGCCTGTTGGAAGTGCCCCACCCACCCGAGACCCATGACATACAGAGCTCCATGCGACGACGACGACGGCTCGGCGCGATGCGACGCGCGCAGCGTTGATGCAGCGCTTCGACGGCCGATGCAGTGGCGGTGCGGAACAGGGCCCAGGCGACCACTGGGCTGCTCTCCACAGCAGATTGCCGAGGCATTGGCGATGCATAGCGCAGCTTGGCGCGTCGCTAGGGACTGAGCTTCCCTTCAAAACTGGCGCGCGATCCCGTTGGGTCGCGCATTCCGCCTCGAGCGTAATGGGTGGCGAGGGGCGAGCTCTGGTCGAGCCAACAGGTAGAAGAACTCGGGCCGACGCCAGTGCTGCACTCCGCCAAACAGAAGAAAACCTTGCACCCGGAACCCTCTTGCCCACGTCGCTCGCCCTCGTCCGCCGACAAGAATCAGCCCTCCCCAAGAGCTGGGTGGCGCCCGCGAGCGCCTGGCAGCGCCTGGGAGCGCCCAGGGAGCGCCTGGGACCCGCGAGCGCCTGGGAGCGCCCGCGAGCGCGGGAACGCCTGCCTGGGAGCGCCTAGGGGGCGCCTGGGAAGCGCGTGCGAGCGCCTGGGAGCGCCAGGCAGCGCTCGAAGGAGCGCCGGCGGGCGCCCGCGAGCGCCCGGGAGTGCTCGGGGGCGCCCCAGGCGCCTGAGAAGCGCCCGCGGGCGCCTGGGAGCGACCGCGAGCGCCTGGGAGCGCCTGGGATGGGAAGCGCCCGGGAACGCCTGGGAGCATTTGAAGAAGGTTTTGGAGCGCCTGGGGAACGCTTTGGAAGCGTTCGGAGGCGCTTGGCCGCGCCTGAAACCGCGTGGAGAGCGCCAGGGAGCGCGTGGGAACGCCTCGAAGCGCCCGGCGGCGCTCGGGAACGCCGGGGGTGCGCCTGGGAGCGCGCGAACCTTTTGGGCACCCTCCCCAGGAGCTCGGGAACGCCTGGGAACGCCTGGGGAGCGCCTGGAACGCCTGGGGCGCCGGGGAGCGCCTGGGGACGCTGGGCCTGGGGAGCGCCTGGGAGCTCGTGGGACATACACGCGCGCATCAGTGCACAGGATGGTATTTTTTGCAGGGTGTCGCATGAATTGCAGGAGCCTATGTGCGCCGCGTGGTATGTTTTGCAAGGGATTCTGGCCTCATGTGTAGAAAACTTCATCTTTGGGCAATGTGAGAGGGGGGGACATAAGCGAGCGCCGACCGAGGAGAGTTTTAGGGTTTTTTGGATTAGAGTATTTGTAGGCTCTGAGTTGTGAGGG